AGTAGTAGTAGTAGTAGTAGTAGTAGTAGTAGTAGTAGTAGTAGTAGTAGTAGTAGTAGTAGTAGTAGTAGTAGTAGAGTAGAGTAGTAGAGAGAGAGAGAGAGAGAGAGAGAGAGAGAGAGAGAGAGAGAGAGAGCATATGGGTCTATGGGTGTGTGTTGGAGAGAGAGGCCTCATATTGAAGACTTGGAGGATGTATTTTTCTTTTTGTTCTTTTTATATGCAGAGAAAGAGAGCGTATCGATTGGTGAGAGAGAGGGAACTCGCAATGAACACTTTGAGGCCGTTATCTTTTTTCCTTGATGTAGAGTGAGACACAAGAGACCAAGAGTTCCATGTTAAGAATGCAAGATTAGGAATCAAAATCTTCTGTTGTTTTCCTTTTTTATATTGTTTTTTTTCATTTTTGCCAAGGCAGCTGCCTAGGTGGGCACCCCCTAGGTCCATGCGGTTCGCTAAGGCCTCTTGCTTTTTAGGCACCAGGGCGGCTGAATATTTGAACACTGATATGTTTCACTCTCAAGGGCATCGGTTATGGATCCATTAGCAAGTTCAACTTCACTAGGAGCAGGAGAAAAAGACAAGAAACCAGCTTTCTTATGGTTCATATGACCAATAGCCCTTGAATTAGTGATCCAAGATGTAGAAGAGGCGGAGTTGGAGGCATAGTTCGCAGTCACATATTTACTTGGCTGCTCTACCATTTTTTAGAGTTTGAGTGAAGCCTCAAGAGCAGTCACTTGGTGTGTAAATCTATGATCCCCCACCCCCCCCCAAAAAAAACAAAAAAAACTAGATACAATATGGTCACTTGCATTCCTTGGTTTCGGTCTCAAGTTGTGGATGCACAAGTTCCAATAGTGCTCTTGGGGTTGTGTCCTCTTCCCACAATGCGAGAATATGAGTTTCGCCTTTTTGGTGGGAGAAAGTGGGGAGCGATTTGGTCCTTTTGTACCCAGTTTTTTTTTTTTTGGCTTAAAGTTTGTTTTAAAGGCTGATCTTTTAGAATGGATCTTGAGTTTTGTCCTTCTGCAATAGCCTTTCTACTGGCCTCCCCCTCACATGATTAGAGACTGGTTCAAGAGAGGGCAGCTTGTCCTTTCCTAGAACTTGTGGTATTTGAAGTTCACAGTCAAGATGTGGGCCCGCAAAGAGCTCAAAGATCCTTTGTTGCTCAGCCTGTTTTTAATGTCATCAAAGGTGGTATTAATAGGCTGATATTGGTCTAGTTCTTCCCACTTATGCACTAGTGTCCCCAAGTTTTCATTTGTAGTCATTTCCCCTTGCTGCAAACTCACTATTTTGTGATGCATTTATAAATCCTAGCCATATCATCTCGTTACGAGTATGTCTTGGCTACTACCTCACATATGTCCTTTGTAGTCTTTAGAAACAACAACCGCCTGTTGATACTTGGCTACATGGAATGAAGGAGCCATGCCATTACTGTTTAGACCTCATTTTCTCGTTCATGATGGGGATCATTTGTGGGAAGCTCTTTTACTTTTCTTGAGATATAACCCAATTTTCTCCGGCTTCCTATGACCATTTTGGCAAATTGGGACCATTCTAAGTAGTTTGTCCCATGGAGCTTAACTGTAGTGATTATCAATCCCATGTGGTTAGGTTGACTGCTTCCCAAGGAAATATTATGCTTGTTATTTGACATTTTTGTTCTCTCTTGAAATTGAAATTTTTTTTTTTTTTTTTTTTTTCAGGGTACTAATTCCTTAGTTTCAAAGTTTGCAAAGGTTATATTTTTCTAGTTTGTTTGGCAAGAAAGGTATGAAATATATATGTGATTTTTGTGAGTAAAAAAAAAGGTTTGGTAGTTTCTTTTTTAGCTGGGAATGGAAAGAGTTTATGATAACACCTACTTATTGGTAAAAGAAAAACGAGATTATCTTGATGGAAATGTGAGGTTGCTGGAAATGAAAAAGAGTTTGGGATAAAACTTACTTATTGCCGAAGGAAAGCGAGATGATCTTGCTGGATATGTAAGGTTGCTGAGACACCACAGCTTCAATCCTAAGAAGAAACAAAACTCATGATTTTAGGGTCGCTGGAAGCAATTGATAACCTAGGTTTTCAAGCTGTGCTCTAATACCATGTTAAGATGGAAAGAGAAGAGAGAGTAATAGTCAAGCACAAGATAAAGTAAATATAGATTCTTTCCACTCTATATAAATCGTGGGGCAATGTGCCTTATGTATACACATAGATCCCTATAGTAGTTACAATATAGGCAGGTCAACATGGATAGGTTTTTGCAGCCATTATGCATGACTGGGAAAACAAGAAGTCACCCAAATATAGTAACTGTTTCAGCAGGAAAATCTCCCAAATATGGTAGAATGTTATAAACATTATCACTACTTGCAGGTTCCCATAATGGGCATGAAGCCCATGCAGGTTTCTTTAATGGGTGTGCGGCCCCCAACAGTCACTGCAGGTTTGAATGTCCTAGATGAAAACAATATCTCTACTTGTTTTTTCTGTTCTTTCTCTATTGTTATATTCATTCTGTTTTTTGTTTTTTCTTATCATTAAACTCCCATGTAGCACATGAGCTGACTTTAACGTATTTTCATAATGACATGGATGTTAGAAATGGATTCTTTTGCAAGCATTTCGTCATCAAGTACTCGTGAAGAGGCAACTTCAATTGGAGTTAACCCACCTTTTACAGCGCCTCCCCCTCCATCCTATGTGTATAGTATTTTTTTTCTTTTTCCCCCAATTCCATCATTAAGTGCTATATTGCAACTTGGAATTTTTTTTATAGCATGGCTGTGGTATAGCCCCATGTCTTTTTTATTATTTAACATTTATGGGCCGTTTCAGTGCTTAAATTGTTTATTATCCTTTTGTAGTGCTTAAATTATCTATTGTTGTTGCGACTAGGGGCTCACCTCTTTTTTGGATTGGAGTCGGCGTTGGGATCTCAGCTTTGTTCTCATGGGTGAGAAATAAGTGTTCACTCATTTGCTTTTGTTGATAGCTTGATCGTGGAATTCCAATCCTGGATATTGTTCTTCACCTTTACAGTTTTGAATTTAAAACATGGTGTACTTGTTTCAGGTTGCAACTAATTTAAAGGTGAGCTTATTTTGGCTTTTTAATGTTCACCAAGGTACGTATTATTTGATGATTGATTTTGTTGAAAGATTGGTATCACGGGATCTTGGTCTTCTTTAAAATATACCATTGAATTTTTAAAGGAACATGTATGCTGTATTGGGTTTTGCATCCAGGCTATTGTTGTTTGTTCTCGTCATTGTGAAGCTTTTATGTGCATATAGTCGTGGTTTCAAGTAGTAAATAAGAAAGACGTGGAGTGTTTCATCCTTACATGTGGCATGCTCAAATGACAATGAATTATTGGAAATCTTCGAATCTCAATTCTCTCTTATTCTCTCTCCTCCATTGGCGCTCAATCTTTTCTCTTGTCTGCCACTGCCTGATTTCTCTTTGCTATGACACCTCTTTTCTTCCATCTCTCTTAGTTTCTCTCTGTTTTGTTCTTCTTTTTTCCTGTTATCGGTTTTTCTTCTATAGGTGTTGGTCAATCAAGATTTTATCTTTGGGTTTCTGTTAGTCTGGGAAACGTTAGGACTTTTGGAGGAGATGCATGGGGATGGAATGATGGCTATGTAAATAAGAACTAAAAGAAAATGGTTTTAACTTCTGCTATTGATTTCAAAGTGAAATCCATGCGAATGGAATGATAAAGTAAAAGAAGGATAGAATAGAAAATATGATACACATCCCACAGATTTGGAACACATACATTACATCTATTTGCTTCCCCTAACGGATGTGAACAGTAGTCTAGCATTTGTGTTTGGACATTAGCTGAATTTCATTTCTTCGAGAAATGTTACTGCTTTTCACAGAACTTCTGTCCAGCAAGCTCTTTATGCACAAGATTTACATCACCTTGACTCTACAGGAGTATACCCCTTGTTTCAATCTATGCATAATCTATATCTATGTATCCATTAATAAAATTGGTCACTATTAACAAAACTGGTCATTAAGATAGAGGACTTTGAAACTCTTGCTTTGGCCAAAGAGTCAACTTCCACCAATTATGTAAAACTCTATATCTCTACCACCTGAAAGATCAACAATTTTTTCGTTTATCTTAATTGGTGTCTAGGGCATTTTCCTTTCTGCTTGCCCAAGCAATCACATAAAAGATGTGGCTGTGTAGAATTCCAGAGTGTAAATTCAAATTTTTTCTTGTTTCCTCTATTAATAGCTGGAATTTTTGTTTACAATTGCCGCAATATAACAGAGAAATAGAAAGTTAAACTTATTATAGTCTAGGATCTTTAAATCTTATGCCTAAAAAAACGTTTGTTCAACTGAATTACAATACTACTTTAGGAAGCAAAAATTAAGGCAAAAACAGAAGCAAATATAACTAAATAAATAAGGAAAACTTACTGACTTTTGCCTAGGGCTACCTTTCTCGGGCTTATTACACCTCACACTTGATCACTTGATCGATGATGCACTTGATCATTAGATCGTGTTGAACCTGCTAATCTGAACTGGGAAATACCTTTGGAACACCCTTATGTGAAGCTATAGGTATTCAGAGCATGATGCACGGTTAGGGTTTCTTAGACCCTTTTTAATCCTTGGGGCATGCCACTGAGTGGCACCGCTTAGCTTTAATCTAGGGCCGGGTGCCCCCTTTCTACCCTTTTGAGTGGTTCCATACAACCCCAATGTGCTTGTGAGGGTGGCGTGCCACCTAGAGATGGGAGAGAGGAGCTAGAGAGAGAGAGAGAGAGAGAGAGAGAGAGAGAGAGAGG